CAGGCTCTCAACGGTGGAAAATGAAGCTATGTGTTATTTAAGTTCCTTTTCATTTAATGCATCAAACTAATATGCCGAAGTGTTTCTGTATCACAAGGGACCTCTTGGTAGACGCTTGCATGGAGTAAGCGTTTAATGTTTACCGAGTGAATGTATAATAAAGCTGAACACTTAAGTAAACACGGCTTATTAAAGAGAAGGCTGGCATGGCTTCGGTGAGGGGAAATCACGCCTCACTAATCTCCTGGAGTTCTTTGAGCAGATAAATAAGCATATGGAAAAGAGGGAACCACAGAACCTGGTTTAATTTGACTTTCAAAAACCTGTGAGAAAATCCCACTCTAATGACTGCTTTTTTTTAAATTGAGTCACTGGGGTTGTTTTTACCATGAATGTGGAATTGAGTTAAAGACCATAAACAAAGCTGAAGACAAGCACAGTCATCCCAGATGGAAAAGGATCTCTAGGGTTTCCTAGAGATCGAATCTATGATGGGTCTTCTTATGCGTTTGTGAATGACCTTGCTGGGATGTAGATATGGAATCTCCAGGTTCAGGCATACCTCCATACAGAGAAGGTCAAGCTTATGGACATTTGCATATTCTATTTGGATTCATAAGACGTGTTGTATTATTTATCTTTCTCATTGTCATGGCCAAATACCTGACATGCAGTAACTTACAGAGGACGGATTTATTCATCTTCATGGTGTAAGTGCACAGTGCATCACAGTGGGCCAGTCATGGGGACAGCAGCTCTCTGAATTTGCGGCAGGAGCATGAAGCTGCTTGTTCATATCTTGGTAGACCAGAAGCTGAGATGGACAGCCCTATGATTGCTAAGACCTGCTCTCCAGGGACCCATTCCCCGTCATCTAAGCCCCATTCTTCTGAAAACTCTACAGCCGTCCAAAACAGAAGCACCAGCTCGGGAGCAAGTGTTCAAACACGTGAGCACATGGGGAGATATTTCATACTCACTCACGCCATAATGGTCATTATGTGTTTGGACCATAAAGTATAAAGAGGATGTAGAAAATACAGTCCTTAGGCTTGAAAAAAATAAGCCACTAAGTTAGGACAAAAGCCAGAAGTTCCAATGGGGCTAGTCACAAAGACAAATGATGCAGGTAAATGAAAGTATGAGAGTACAGAGAAGGGGAAATGTGGATGGAGGCAGGGAAGGCTTCCTGGAGGAGGCAGACTCTAAGAGAGCCTTGAAGAACAGCTAGGTTTTGCATAGGTGCAGAAGAGATGAAAGGTTGAAAGCAGCCAGTGGATATTGAGCAATTGTTGACCCTGACAAGCACTGCGCAGGGGCCCTGGCTCGTATGAGTGGTCCCGTCTAACTAACATCAGCCTAGTAAGGTAGCACAGGGACCCTGGCTCATATGCATGGTCCCGTCTAACTAACATCAGCCTAGTAAGGTAGCGCAGGGGCCCTGGCTTGCATGAGTGGTCCCGTCTAACTAACATCAGCCTAGTAAGGTAGCGCAGGGGCCCTGGCTTGCATGAGTGGTCCCGTCTAACTAACATCAGCCTAGTAAGGTAGCGCAGGGGCCCTGGCTTGCATGAGTGGTCCCGTCTAACTAACATCAGCCTAGTAAGGTAGCTTATATAGGCTGATGTCTCCAAAGGAGGAACAGGAGGCTCTAAGAACTTAGATCTACTCAAACTCACAGTGCTAATTAGTTGTTGTAGTCCCTCTTGTTTTAGGAATTGTTGGCATTTGCAAAGATCTGGTGGCAGGCTCTGAGAGTATGGAGCGACTATAGAGGCCAGGGTGACTGGAGGGACGCCTTATGCTGGAGAGCAGAGAGGGCTTAGGTTGGATCGTGTGGATTGTCTCTGAGTTAGAGGTTCTTCCATCTGTGGGAAGACCTCAAGAGCTGAACGCTCCGTCCCTCATTGAGTGGAAGAGGAAAGGAACTGTGAGCCACAGTCTGCAGTTAGGGCCAGGACCTAGTTTGGGAGGAGGAAATTAAAGAGTGCAGAAAAACAAACAAACAAAAGAAAAAAACAGTGTGGGGAAGAAGCTGACAGAGGCCAGCTTATTTAGTGGCCTCTGCTCGATCATGTCCATTGGGTCTGTTTTCACCTTACACACCCATCAGAATGCAGGTCTCTTCAGGGCCAGCTCTCGGGGTCTCCTGCCCCACAACTATCTCGGGTGTGGTGGGAAGTCAAATAGAGACTCAGAACGCTGATGCCCCTGTCGCCTTCAGGGGCTCCGGTGGGCTCAGGAAGCATGGCAGGACTATGCTTGACTATAGCTATGACTTGGCTGTCTGAGTTCTTTGACACACATCCCGTAACTCACAAGTCTGGCCGAGCCATCAGGCTTGGTCTCCTGGGTCCCAGCAGGGCGCAGTCTGCCAGGGGTCTTTGGGTGTAAGAATGACAATACTCAAAGCAGCAGGAAGCAGCTAAGCCATGTGATTCCCTTGGCCACTCCAAGGACATGGAGGCAGGATGCCATGTGGTCACCTCCTTCTAGTGGCATGTGGGGCATGGAACTGGGCTAGAAGATTTGGGATTTAGGGTAAGTGGCCAACCACTCTGTTAAACTTTGCTATCTAGAAGTGTCACCCAAGACACCTGTTGGGGTAGTGAAGGAAAGAGAGTGCTGGCCTTGAAGTGGGAGGTGACCCTTGTACCTCTGCCCATCCTCAAATTAGTCTGTGAATGGGCTGACCATGTAGCCCCGTGGGCCTCAGTGTTCCTGTCTGTGAAATGGGCAGGTTCACTGTATCAATCTCTTACATACTTTTTTATTTTATGTGTATGAGTGTTTGCCCACATGTATGTCTGTGCACCCCATGGGTACACTGCCGGGAGAGGTCAGAAGGCAGCATTAGAGCCCCTAGAACTGGAATTACAGGAAATTGTGAGCTGTCACATGGGCGCTGAAAATCAAACCCAGGTCCTCTCTAAGCTGCTGAGCCTTCTGTCCACCCCTCGTGTATTCTGTGATGACCAAAACCCCGCCCTGCATTGTTCAGAACGCAGGAGGGTGCCTGCTGTTTTATCGCTCTGTCCCAAGTTCATGGTGTCTTAAGTTAAGTTTTCGCACTTGAACCCTGGATAACCCGGCACTTCCCACTGTGGGAGCCGCCCCATGCATCCTGCAAATGTTCCCGCTGGTCTGCTAGCTCCACAAGACCTGAGGATGAGACGCCGTCTTCTCCCTCTTTACAGTTAACGTCCTCGGAGTGTCTGGCCTAAGGCAGGTGTGCACAGGGTTGCCAGGCAGTCAACAAAAGAATGACTGCGTTACCAACAGTCTCTGGAAGAATGGTAAGTGTAGTCCGGGGCTGGAGAGCCGCCTCAGTGGCTAGAACGCTTGCTGCTGCATGTGAGGACCTGTGTTTGGATGCACAGACCTCTGCAAAGTCAGACTGAGCAGCTCATGTCTTCAGTCCCAGTGTTTCTACAGAAGGTGAGAGGGACGCAGGAGAATTCCTAAAGGTTCACCAGCCAGCTAGTTCGGTGTATAGCGCGGCAAGCGACAAGAGAGTCTGTCTCAAACAAGGTGGAAGGCAAAAATAGACAAAGGCTTGGGTTGTCCTCTGACCTCTACACCTACACTGTAGCCTGCATGCACCCACACACATACACTTACACATTGTGTACACACATGCTTACACACACACACACACACACACACACACACACACTTTTTAATTGGACCCCGTAAACTACCCTTCTTTGTTAGAATGTCTGTCTCCTCACCTTGGGAAAATATGGGCGGCACCAAACACCGCCGTCTCTTCCATTCGGAATTTTCTCATTAAAGGTAAAAAGCAAGAAGCGGGCTGGGGACTTGAACTGGCGCGGGGTCCTCTGTCGACTCCTGCTGTTAATACCTGGGGGCTGATTTCCCTACTGAAGTTGTTTATCTTCTCTCTTTAGCTTTCCCAGTTGCAGAGAAAGACCCTCCAAGTTCGCTCTCCCGCTGGCGTGCATTAACCTTGCTCGCTGTTTCTCGGTCACATGGCCTGTGCCCTGTGGATCTTCCAGCTTTGAACACAGCTTTAGCCAATGCTCCTCCTGGCCTTAGCGTTTCTGCTAGCTCCAATTTCTCTTTCGCTCCAGCTTCCTTGGAGTGTTTCTTAGGTGTAAATGCCATCTTTGCAGCAGTGCTGGGCAGCTCTCAAAACCCCATGCTCACCAGGGAGCTAAGTTCTGGGGGAGGAGACCTCAGCCCCACAGAAGCCTGGGCACTTTGCTTCCTGTTTGTGATGGTTTAGATGAGAATGGCCCTCGGAGGCTCAGCTATTTGAACACGTGGTCCCCCCGCCACAGGTGCAGTTTGGGAAGGTTGTGGAACCTTTGAGTGTGTGTCGTCTCGCCTCACTTCCTGTTTTGTTTTGCTTCCGGTTTACATTTGAAGATGTCAGCTCTCAGCTTCCTTCTCTGGCCACAGCTTGCTGCTGTGTCTTCTCCACCATGGTGGACCCATCCCTCTGGAATCTAAAATAAACTCTTCCTTCTATGAGTTACTTTTCAACATAGTATTTTGTCACAGCAACGACAATAAAATAACGAACGCCCTGTTGCTGTGATAAACACCATGACCGAAAGCAATCTGGAGAGGAAAGGGTTATTTTAGCTTACAGCTCCCATTACCAATGGGAGACAGGGCAGTACCTCAAGGCAGAAACTGAAGCAGAGACCATGGAGGAACATTTCTTACTGGCTTGCTTCTAGGCTTATGTTTAGCTACCTTTCTTATATAATCCAGGGCTACCAGTCTAGGGATGTTACTGCCCACAGTAGGCTTGGACATTCCAACATCAATTAGCCATCGAGAAACTGTCCCACAGACTTGCCCACACAACGGTCTGATGGAGGCAATTCCTCTGCTGAGGCGCCTTCTTCATAAGTGAGTCAAACTGTCAACCAAGGTTAGCTATCACAAGCCACCCCTCCATACCTGTAAGTTCTTCCATCTTAGGATGACCTCACCCACATTCATACACACACAGAGAAACTACATACCATCCTGTTGGAAAAGTTGATGAAGTTCTCAACCAACACCTGCTTGATCATGTCTGGCTCAGAAATGACAACGTACATCCGACGACCAAGATAGTACCTAGAAAAGATCAAACCAATTGCTTTTAAAACATGGCACGTTTACCCAGTTCTCCTACCCCTCTCCTCCAAAAGAACTCACAGTGGCTTTAGAATGAAGGGTGAACAATAAGTGAGAAGTAAATACACAGAGATGAGAGAATACAGCTCCAGTGGCGAGCAATAGCAGATTTGCGATAAAGTGTCGCCAAAGCGCTTCCCATCAACGCTTGCAGACTGCCACCTTGTCCCAGCACTGGAAATTCAGATAAGACACAGTCCCTGACTCAGGCAGCTTACGGGCTGAGAGAAAACACAGGTCGATAAATGTCAATGCACGAACAAGAGCTCCTGAGATCCAACAGTTAGATGGAGGGAAATGGCAGAGTTTTCCAAACACGAGAGGCTGGCATTTTAGAACGAAAACATTTATACTAATTCTATACTGAATGAATAAGCAGATGTCAGAGAGAACATGGGAATGATTAACCCTGCTTCCGAAAGGCTGAGCTTTGTACAAGGGAGCTCAGCAGACACTCACAGCTTCTGAGAAGTGGAGGACAGCCTCAGCCAGTCACCTGCTGCTGGTGAACTCTGGCCAGAGGAAGTGCTTACATACACAGCTGATCTTTATGAAAGTCCCGAGGACCCAAACCACCAAGACCTAGGGCCCCACCTGCTTGGGTGACACTGTGAGGGCCCCAGGGCCCCACCTGCTTGGGTAGCACTGTGAGGGACCCAGGGCCCCACCTGCTTGGGTG